CAGCCCCGGGGCTCTACCATCTCAATGAGGAGGTTGCAGATCTCCTGTAGGACGACGATGGCGCGGGCGGGCGAGCTGTAGTGCTGGCAGTGAGCCTGGAGGAGGCAGACGGTGCACAGCTTGTCCACAGAGGGCTGCGGCGGCGGGAGCAGAGTCCCGTTAGTGCGGGGCCATGGAGGCGCTAACGAGGGTCGGGCAGAGCCGGGGTGGATGCGCACCCACACACAACCTCTGGGGCTCAGCGCCAACACCTCTACCCGGACGAGGAAGCCAGGCTGTGCCTGGTTATTCTGCCACATATGACTTACCTGGGAGTAATCCGCTTGCTCCATCTCTTCCAGCAGGATCCGAAGCGGTTGCAGGTGGAGGCTGATGTCCTTGGCTTCCTGCAGGCCTGCGCCGGGGGAGAAACTGCGTTGGGGACAGGGAATCCCCACCGGAAGGGCGAGTGGCAGCTGCCCACCACGTTGCCCGGGGGCTTACCGGTGCTGACGTCCTTGAACATGCTCTGGAGCGCCGGCCAGTAGCAGCTGTTGGCCTTCTCCAGCATCTCGGCCAGCACTGTCACGCGGGGCGAGAGCAGCTGGCAGGGGAGAGGCGGTGGGTTCAGCACCGGGGGCCCAGCACGAGGGACACGTGGCTGCTGACCGGTCATGGGTGAGGAGGTACCTGGTCGTTGATGCACTGCAGGTTGACTGTTCTGGTGTGCCAGAACTCAAACTCAGTCCTGGGCAGGGGGTGCAGCCCCTCCAGCAGCGGCTGCGCTGAGTCCTTGCTCAGGATGTCTCTGATCTGGTGGGACCACTCGATGACGATGGTCTCGATGGAGTGCAGCACCGAAATGTCCACAGGCCCTGACAGGCTGAAAAGCAGCCGGGTTATGATCCAGCACGGGCACCAGCCCCGAACCACCCTGGAGCCCCACGTGCCTGCTTGTGGCCATCTCGGCCAGCACGGCAGCCTGGCGTGAGCCTCTTGGAGGCGCACGGCGGCTGTGCCCAGGGATGCTCAGGGACAGAGACGGTGTCCCAGCTCCTGTCCCTCCCAGAGGGACTCGTGCTGCCCCAGGCCCCTGCCAGGCTCCGCTGGCACCGAGCAGCGCTGGCAGCACCCACCACTCCAGGATGGTGCTGGAGCCGTCCTGGCCAAGCAGGTGGTCCGGCAGCGGGAGCAGCGGCTTCCCCTGGATCTTCCCACCCATCACGAACATCTCGTTCTTCAGGCGGTAGGCTTGTCGCACGATGTCCTCCACCACCACCCCGGGCCAGCCCGCCACATTCTCCTCACTTAGGAGCAGGGGCACCATGACCTGGAGGAGAGGGCTTGGTCGGGCGCTCGGTTGGGCTCTCCTGTTGCAGAGGGCAGCATGCAGCCGCGCTGGTTTGCACAGTGTCCCTTCCTGCTGCCCATCCAAGCACGGTTGCAGCCCAGCGCAGCTGCCACTGGTGGGTTTTGCTGATGTTTTTCATCAGCGTGACCAGGAGCCCCCTCCCCCCGTGGTGGGTTTCCAACACTCGTGGGTTGGGACATGATGGGAGCAGTGCAGTGAGCACACCCTGGTGCATGAGCAAAAGCCCCCGGCGTTGAGGAGGAGGAGGAATCGCAGGGGCTCCTGGGGCCTGACTCAGCTTTTGGGTGCTCTGGGCTGGCAGTCCTCTGAGCGGGAATATTTATGGGAAGTTTGAGAGAAATCCTCTCAGACATTTCCCAGCTGCGGGGCACGGGGGAGGGGGAATTACGCTGAGTTTTTAAAACCACAGGGAGGAAGCGATGCAGCTGGGGAGCAGGAGA